GAAGAAAGAGATTTTAATTATAATACAAATTGTGATTTCCAGTAGAACTAAGGATAGAGAGGAAAAATCTAATAAAATATCACAACAACCATGGGCGCCCGCAGGAAGGGGTAAGTGGGGCATTTGCCCTCCTTACATTTCACAAAAAAATGCACGTATTATGGTGTAAACTTAACATCGTAGTTAAACTAAATATTTTTAGTGATTTTCATTAAAACTGTAAATTTGTGTTTGCGTTTAAGCACACATAATACATATTATTTTAATTTATTGACTTACACTGTAAAATCTTATCCCCTACACACGTTTTTCCCCCTCTTGAAAATATTTCTGTGGGTGCCCATGACAACAACATGTGCAATTTACATTGCTTACATGTGGAACACACCTCATAGGGATTATAGAGTGCCTTCTAGAACCTCTGTTGGCTTTTTCTCAAGAAACAAGTTTTCAGGGAACTTTTTTCACCCCCGGAAGTCCATATGAAACAAGAACAATTTTTAGATGAGCTGCGAGTCGTCGTGACCAATTTTTACCATGATCAATTCAATAGTTTCTGACAGAGAATCAATGTGTTAGCCAATTTAGCTTTTTTTGATCTGACAGTGGTGTCATCACTGCTTTAAATTGGTGGGTTTACTGGAATAAGGACATAGCAGTGTATTATGCAGGTGTACTATATGTTTTCAATATTCTTTTATTAATATAGGAATTTAAATTTTTTCTTTTCATTTAATCTGATTCTATGCAGCTTTCATAAACACGTGGTCCAGAAAACCATTAAATTATTTTCATTCTAGTTATCTTTGTTCCTTTGTTCTCCAACAGCTAGTATCTACTTCACCCACGGCGATATTGATGCAGTATCACACATTACGTAAAACAGGTGAAAGACAGCAATGTCCTTCACTAGACACGCGCATTTTTTTTCGCTATATATATAATAAAAATTGCAGTTCACTTAACATCACGTGCCCAGCCTGTTTCTTAGATTAAACTAAATCTGTAGCTAAATTCAGATAATTTCTGTGATCGATTATCCTGTTATAAATTGAATTGAATTAAGCACAAAGCAACACAATGGGTTATCTGTGCTCTACCCACAGCGGATAATGAAACCCAATTTTTAGTGTTATAAACCTTCTGACTTACCACTGAACCACCGGAGGGGGGGGGGATAAAGTGGACCTATCTAATACTTGCGAAAAAATCAGTTTCAACTGAAAATACCACAGAGTAGGTAGAAAGAAAATATTTAGGTGTTGTAACCCCAGGACTTATTTTAATTTTTTCTATTTTTTTATCAATGTGCTTTTTAGTCTGTACTTGATTTCTTGAGCTTAAACAATTATAAAGTAATTCTTTTACTGAAAGTTTGGAATTTTCTTAAGGTAGAAGTACTCTCTACCAAAAGAGTGATGTTATCACTGGAAAGAAAAAGTTATACGAGATAAAAAGTAATTTCAGAAGTTTTCTCACAGGCATAGGACTTTTGCTCAGACTGGTAGATCAAAACATACACCTAAAGATCAATATTGATATAAAGGTGAGGATGACTGAAGGTCGCTGAAGTGGAATGGCACCTGAAATGTCTAAGACCATTTAGGAAGATTTCTGCAGATTCCCAGGCTGTTGCTAGCCAGAGTACCGTAACTCTAACTCTGTACAAGACCACCCACAACCAGCCGAGAATGACTAGAAGTACCATTGGTGGATTACTTCTGCCATTTATAGCTGTTTTCCTGGCAGGTAAAGAACATGAACCATGGAGTAGAGAGCCTTTTTGAAGTGAGGTATATTATAATGATAACTATAGCTCACAATAAAACCTGGAGTCAATTTTAAGCTTCCACATGTTTTCCAGCAACTATGAAATATGGTTATTCAAAAACTTTAGTGTATTAAGTTATTTCCATAAGAAATCAATGGGGTATCTCTCGTTGGATCACCCTATATGTAGATTAACACAATATGTTGGTCAAAGAAGTAACTAAGTTCCTTA